CATTGTGCAATGCTTGGCTCACCCCTCAGCCACTTCTTCATCTTTTCAAGTTTATACGAGCCAATTACACAGTCAACTCTCAGTCTGCCAGTTCCTGTTCATACCATGTCACTTGCTCAAGTCCTTTCTGCGTTGGCGTCTTGCCAGGCCCCCTTTTCTAAGGACTATACAAAGTCAATTACCACCCTTTTCTGTTCCGGCCATCTTGACAGACCCCTTTTTTTCCAAGCCCATGCAAAATCAATTACAAATCTTATTTTTATGCGCATTCATTGGTAGATGGCACACCTTCCCCCCACTCAAAACGCGATGTCCCCATCGCGCGATTGGTTCTCACTCGGAGGTTCGCAGACCTTTGGCCCACCAACCGCAAGTCAAGGATACAAGCCCGTCTGCTTCACAGAAGGAAGAGTGATCAGTTCTTCCCCAGCGAACGACACCTCATCCTTCTACCCGGTCCGACCTTTGTTCCCTTACGTGGCGAGCACCAATACCAAGGTTCCTCCTCACGTCAGTCAGGTAGGTCCAATCCAAGCCTGCCAGAGCCTCGTTTAGCCGTAAGAGCGTTCCTCGCGAATTGTTCCTCCCGAGTGGTGATTTTTTGGATCCAAGCCTGCCAGAGCCTCGTTTAGCCTCTTTCTTTCAAGAGAGTTGGGGCTCTCGATCAGTCCGCGAGAGCAGTTACGAAGACCTCGCAATTAGTCCCGAAACGGTTGTAATGTTCCGGCAGGGCAGTGTCAATGCCCCGTGGTGGTGGCGGACTCCACCCGGTACTTCGCCCGGCCTCTCCCCTTGGACAGTGCCGCCCAACTTAGCCCGGGCAGCCATGGTCCGACCCAAATGGCCATGCCACCCCTCTATGACATGGTCTGTGGTTGGAGAGTAGCAAAATAGACTAGATGAGAATGGCTTCCCTGCCCATTTGGCTCTCTCGCCCTTTGACGTTTAGGCATTCAACAGGAGTCGAAGTTGGAACTCCCCGACTAGAGCTCATTGTCGGAGGTGGTTCCGAACGTCCTGCATCGATCCAAGTGGTGGGTGCCTTAGTCCTTTAACCCTCATCCTCTCGAAGAGGAACAGGTCGCGCTGAGACTTTTTCCCTTAAAGGTATAGAGGTCTTGGGGTCGCGGTGCATGCACCGGTATCCCCCTCTTGCTGAGGCCAAAGACTAGAAAAYGAGAAATTCMATTTCAAGGCTCTTTCCAAGTCCATTTCGAGTTGCCTAGGGTCCCCTATTTATACAATGCAATTTCCAATACTCAGTCCAATTCCAATGCTCAGTCTCATTCCCATGCTCAATATCAGTCCAATGCTCAATGCAATATCTTTTCCAAGGCTGAGTCCAATATACTTTCCAAGGCTCAGCTCTTCCAATCTTACCCAAGGCTCAGCTCAATGCCTCTTTCAAACTCGGCTCAATATCTCATCAATATCTTTTCCAAAGCTCWRCTCTTCCAATATCATACATCTCAAGCAGCCATGSAAGGGGACCCYAGTGCCAATTCCAAAGAGTGACCCTTGTCAGGGGYCATTCCGAACAACCTGGTTAGGGTCGTTCTTTCCACTTCCAAGTCGAACAGCCTGGTTAGGCCATTCTTATCCATTGCAATCGGACAGCCTGGTTAGGACCATCCTTATCCATTTCAATTGGGCAGCCTGATTAGGGCCATCCTTGTCCATTTCAATTGAACAGCCTGGTTAGGGTCATCCTTGTCCATTGCAGTGTTAGCGCCCGAGGGGGTGGGCCTCGAGGACACGGATCCTATCTCGTCTCGGGGGTTAGAGGGCGACCATCATCTTGGCTTTTTACGCATGCTTCTTCCTTTTCCTCATGTCTTTTGTCATTCTTACATCCATCCATACATCCGACTTAGCGTCTGGTGCTCAAGTTGAGGCTCGCGGCCCCAAGCAGCACTAGCCCGCCCGACCGTTCACCATTGCAAGGGGTGTTGCATCATTTCAATGTTTCCCTGCGACTTTTCTGACTTCTCATATGTTTCTCTATGCTCTGGGATTGCCTGGGGTAGGTTGGATTAGGCTCCTAGGGGAGAGGGTGCCTCTCTACCCGTAGGTCCCCTAACCTCTCACAAGGGTTCATGCAATGACTCATTCAGTCCTGGATACCTTATTTCAAAGGAAAAACTCTCGCCATGACTGCATCTTCCAATGTTCAAGAGTTCACATGCCCCTGCCTATTTTCTCGAGGCAAAGTCAATCATCTCCAAAGTACGTTTCTTACTACCAAAAAAGTTCCCATTTTCCCCAAAGAAGCGAATACTTATACAAAGCAGCACAAGCCTCCCAACCCCCACTAGTTTCCTCAATCCAAAAAGTAGTTTCATTACAGTCCTTCCCAAAAAGGAGGAGACAAAGTTCGAATGCAACGACAACATTACGGACTTGTCTCATCTAGGTTCCCCTTGTTTCCCCTTTTTCTTTCCCTTAATCTCCCCAGCCACCAGAATTCTATTCTAAGTGCAAAAAGCTCTTGTGCTCATTCCCGAAGAAGCAACGACTCATGTGAAGTAGCATTCGTTACCCAGTCCTTAGCCGCTTCGAGCTTAGCAGTTGTCTCATCACAGTTCATTCGGAAAGAAGTCCAAATGCGCAAAAAAGGAAAGATGGTAGTTCTTGCTGCCCGGCTACCAACCCCTCCCCGATTCCTAGCTATTCCCATCATGCCTGCTGTCCCCTTTTACTGCCCCGGTGCCCGACGCCGAGCCTTCCTCCTTGCACGGTCCTCCATCTCTTGCTCCATTAGCCTCTTTATGGTTTGAACATGGCGAAGCGTTTCTTCTGAAAAGAAGGTTGTTGGGGATATGTCTTCTCCCCTGCTCAACTTTACCTGGCCCTTCAGTGCCCATTAATAACGCAAAATGCTGGCCCATTGATCGAACCAATCGCTGAACTTAGGTCCGAACTCTTCTATCCATTTGTCCTTTTTCTCACCCGGCTGCTCCCCTCTTCCCCGTTCTTCCCTTGTGGGCGTTGTTACCTCATCTTCCTCTTCGTCGCTGGTGAGGTCAATGAACTCAACGGGCTCATTCTCCCCCGGCCGTTGTCCCTCCTCTGGGTTCCCCTTTTCGTTGCTGCTAGGATCGCTGTCTGAAGGCAGCTCTATTGGCTCCCCTTCCTTCAGTGGTGACGACCCTCTGATCCCTTGTTTCTTGCCCCCTCTGTTTACCACCAGGTTGTGGTCAAACCCCACATATAGCTTCCTCTTCCTGGAGCTTGATTCCCCAGCCTGCCTTGATGACTGTCCCTCAGTAGGCCTGTTGATGGCGTTGCTATCGTTTTCATTTCCAAAGTCCATTTTTGCCGTTTGTTGTCTTCCTTCTTCTTGCCTGGCCCTGTTCATACATAACAGTCACGGTACCCCTCATACACACACATTCCCTTCCACTCCCGTTTGCGGCTCTGGAGGCTTCCCTAGAACTCTTGCTTGCCCCCACATAGTTGGTAGCCCCATTATCCCTTAGAACCCTGGACACGTTGTCCCAACACATAGGTGCCCCATGTAGGCAGTCCACAGCATCACCCCATAAAAACTATAATACACTGTCCCGTGCTCCCAGGCCCAGTCACAGTCAGCCCAGGCAGTCTCCCCACGTTCCACAAAAGTCAAGACACACAAACGAACAATCCCTGTGGTCATGATCACTTCCACAAGGAGGCGGTCCATAACTTATAGCCAGCTGCCTGCCTTTCAGGCTGTCAGTTCCCCAGTTTCCCTGTCTTGGGCCTCTTGTAGCCACTGTTCCACCGGATCCCTGCTAAAAAATCTGACCAATCTCTGTCCCGGAAATGACCCTCTTATGCTAGTACCATCGAGATCCTCAAGTTCAAATGTGTTCAGTCCCATCCGCTTAGCGATCCTGTAAGGCCCTTTGAATCTTTTTCCCAGCCGCCCGGACCATGTGCTTTCAAGAGCCGAGTTCCTAACTAGCACCTTTTCCCCCACCTGGAGTGGCTCCTTCTGAATGTTCTTAACCTGGTCCCATCTTGCTTTACCCCTCATTCGGCTGTCCGTCACACGATTGACTACTTCCTCGAGTGCCTCCTCATTCCTGGCGACCTAATGACAACGTGCGGTGATTAACTCTTCCGTGCTCAAGTGTGGATCGTCATCTAGCCTGTTCCAGGTAGGGACCAAAGCTTCTATCGGAAAATCGAT